AACAGAATATACGAGGTTAAAAGGAACATAAAACAGTTCGCTGCCTCATGGGGATGTTTCTATTAGTCCAAAAGCTAGTTCATCCTGCCATGTAGTCACCATATCATCTAGTTATCTAGATTTTACTGAGATTTATTTGTTCAGTTAAATTAATACTAGAAATTAAAGTAGTGTAGAGACATTAGGTTATTTCGAAGCAAGAGAGATGAAAAATGAGCAACGCCTTCCCCGGGACTCGAACCGCGGACCTCTCGAAATACGCGCCGAGCGTGCTGACCGCTACTGTACGAAGGCATGCTAAGAAGGCGGGAGAAACACCTTATAGTAGTAATTAAAATATAATTTAATACTTTTTGTAAAACGCTGTTAGAAGTCAAATTAAAATGGCGAAGATAAAATGAGCATTTTTACTGGCATTACAAGTACCAGTGTTAGTGTACAAATATGTAAAAATCTAAAATTTAGATATTTGAAGAGCACACCTTTTAAAATTGTCTCACCGGCACCGCGATGCTAACCCTTGGATTAGAATACTTACATTATGTATGCACTATTCGTAACTTATTCCATGAATGTAGACTTAGAATATAGGTTTTTCAACATGGGATTCAATTCCAAACAGAAACGGTGATCTTTAAGAGCATGCATTTTCTTATTATTCTTTTGTAATGCACGAAAACGTTATGTAATCTTAGAAATACTATATAATAAATACTTTACCTTACCATCTTGCTTTATATTAGTCTTAGTAAGAACTGTATGCAAAAGGTACCTTTAGAATCTAAATGAAAAGTATTAATAAACTACCTAAAATTAAATTCTGACTAGTAACATGTTACATACAAAGCAAAAATTTTTTTCTAACGTCTCTCTTCTATTGACTTTCTCAAACTTTATTCTTATTTCTTTTTATGAATACGGATCACGTTCAAGAGGAACGAAAGATATGTCATTTGGAATCGGAAAGAAGTGACTGACGTTTTGACGACTGCTGATAAAAAGGAAAGGAAGGATTTTCGAATCATATGCTAACTGATTGTAGTTTCACCTGCCACCACATTCCACAAAAGATTCGGTTGTATGTAACTGAATTTCATAAAAATAAAAAAACAGAATATTTACTGTATTGAAATGCGAATTAAAATTTTGGACTGCTTAGGATATGATTTACCATTTTATATTCCTACGCAAACAATTACCAGAAACCCCTTTTTTTAGCCTAAAACGGACTAGTAGTCTCGAAATGGGAGTTTGCGTCGAATCACTATAGATATGTTATTTTACTTTTCATTCGAGTCTGTTGCCATTCGGCAAAATGTAAAATTGAATATGTCTGTTGTGGATTGGTAAACTAAGCCATTTGAAAGCATTAGATACAGTTCTTAAGAATATTCGTTTCTTATGTTTGAATCGGATTGATTTAGTAAAAAATTATTTAAGTCATGATCTACCTCATCAAAAATATTCAATACTTTCATAAAATGACGTTAAAAATTTTTATTGGTTTCTCCGTATTTTGTAAGACTTTAATGAATTTTTGATTGACAAACCCTTTGATTTGAAAGCGAGCGATGGCAATATTGTACGAGAAAAAATTGTGCCCATCGTGCGAGACTCTCTCTATAGAAAATCCTAAATATATTCTGCTTTTAAACACTTTGTGATTCTGCTGTGAATCAAAGTTTATGTGGCGTAAGTTACACGAACTTTATATTTGATAAACAAAATTAACACATAAAATGATAATAATAAAAATATTTTAAAACAGTTTTTATTCTTAATCTGAAACCTTTCAGATTTTAATTTTTTTAGTAAAAAAACGTTAATTCGCTATGCACTATTTTTTACAAACATTGCTGCTAGTTTAAAGTAAATAATTTTCTAATCGCAGTTCTTGTGTAACAGTATAACATTTTCTTCCACTAAAAGTGACAATTTAGGCGATTCTAATACGAACTCCAAAATTAAATCATCTCAAATAATAGAATAACTGTATGCATATCTTGTTACATATGCCTACGAGACAGTATGTAAATAGAGTCGAACAAAAAATTTACAACACAGCGTATGAATATAAACGAATATGCAAATAGTAATAATGAGCATTTTACTCATTTTTTGAGCAGGCATAGCAAAATAACGATTTCAGCGGGCTTAGAAATTTAAGAGATCATGAGTGATGAATTATTGGAGATCATACTGAAGTAATCAGGAAATCAAAGTAATAATAATTGTAGATACAAATATATAGTACTCATTTCGTTGGAAAGAGTTACTTTGCAGTCTTACTCGTTAATCAAAGCAGAGAATAAATAAAAGAAGATGGTCTCAGGAAGGTCTGTGGTCACCTCTAGAAATGATGTGCGTTTTTCAAATATCAAGATAACCAAGAACATACTTTGGAAAACATGTGAATCTCAATTTAAGAAATAGTGTGGTCTCTGATTCTTGGAATAATAGGAAGGTGGTTGTAACTTTCTTGCTGTTGTATTACACATTTCTTGCCTACTAACCCAGTGATTATGATAGTACCGCAAGACAACAATGAAGAAAGTTCGAAATACGTACAACATGATTTAGATCATCAAAGAAACTCGCCAATCTATTTAATCAACCTCGTTACTTGGTAACAAGCAAAATGCGATAGTGTGCAAAGTTATTGTCTATGCTGACTATATTCGAAGACCAAATTCGAAGACAACGGCGTTTCAAACAAAGACAGGTAGAAACAAGGGTAGTACACTTTTGTTCATCGATTTACAGAAATGTATTGGCTTCCATTTTGTAGAAGTTTATATGTGCATCCAAAAACATGATTTCCCAGATGAAAACATGTAAAATAGTTTATCGATTTGTTACCCCAAACAGGCGTTAGCCCAAGCGGACCATTAGTCTCGAAACCGGACTTTCTATTGAACAGCGTATCACTTTTCACATTGTTGCCACCAAATATTATCGCCTTGAATTATTTAAAAAAAAATAAATAACGAAGTATCTGCATGAATATATGCACGTTTCTCGCATTGTAAAAAAGCGACGGGGCCTACAGATTAAATAACGTAGTCCTCCACCCGAACATGTGCATTTGGAAGCAAGAATTTTAAATTTTATAATTACTTTATAATATATTTCATATTTTGTGAGACTTTAGCGAACTCAACAATTCTTTATTAACAAATTCAGCAATTTGAAACCGAGCAGTAGCACTACTCTACGGAATAAAAATTTTTATTTCCAGAGCGCGAGTCTGTTTATCGGAAGTTCTAAAGGTATGCTGGTTTTTTAATATTTTGTGATTTTGCCGCTGAATTAAATTTTATGTGGCTTAAGTTCGAAGAATATGATAATAACTGAATAAAGTTAGCACATGAAAGTTTAAAAATGAAAACACAAAAAAAGTTTTGCAGGCCATCTTAATAAGAAAACTGAACATTGAGAAAACATTGAAAAAATAAAAAAAATGTACGTGAACACTTAACAATCTATCGCGAATTTTAAACATACATTGCTATTGTGCTTTTGAATTTTTTATAATTTTCGCTGTTGAATTGTGTATGGCGTACGAGCGAAGAAAATTATGCTTAATAATAAAGATAAACAAGGGGAAAAAAGATTATTTTAAAAAAGTGATGAAAAAATGCAGCATGTGAGTGCAACAGCAGACTGATAAGCTTCGAACTCAGCAAGAGTGTAAGAAAGCTTAACAAACTCTTTTGGGTGACAGTTCAAATCTGAAACCTTTCAAATTTTTTTATTAGTGTCTTCGAGAAGATTTCGTGCCCTGATATTTCTGTTACAGAGTAGATCGAATTGCTTGATTAAGGGAAAGCATATGAGACTGACTACCTGCGTAAGGGAGAATGATACCTTCGTACCTTCTTTAGAGGACTTACTAAGAGAACCTGTCTCGTATCAATGTTACACATGGAGAAACCCACGAAAATTGCCATACAGCCACTCCGTTCGCCGGGATTTAAACCTGGGTTAAACTAGCAGTGTTCAGTGTTTTTATATCTTGACTGCTAGTGAGCGTATTTTTGTTACCCATAATGTGTAAAAGGGAAGTGATTGATTGCTACAAATATGTGTCTACGTAAAAGTTCTAAATATTGAAATGGTAAATTATGTTCCTTTATGTATGAAATCTTTCAAAAGTGGAAGAAAAACAGAAGTTGAAAAAATTCTCTTTTCCGAAATTTTCACTCTAAATTAAAACACTTCCTTTAATAAGTAACTTAATGCACATATATTCCGAAAAGAATTGCGACTCATTGCGGAAGCCAGAAAAATGATAGGAAATCACAAAAGCGCTAAAAAATGTCATTTTTATTAATAATTTTTTTAACTTTGGATTCTTAGCTATTTAATTAGTACTGCATACTTATAAGTGCACATATTTATTTCAAAATACCGGTTCTTTTGCTTGAGTTTGGATTTTACTATGGATATTTAATTTGCTTTCAAAAGCTACATATATCTAAAAAAAAGTGTGACTTTTCATTATAAACGCAAAGAAATTTTGATAAATTATGCTTTAACAAGGGAAGCATGAGTACAAAAAAAATGAACAAACATTCCGTTTAAAATAAGATGAGTATTTATTTTAAATTTTAAAAAATATTAAAGTAAATTTTGTAACTGAGTTTTCTTAAATTCTATTCTGCCGTTTGAAAAATGTATTTCAAAGCCGTCTGATAATAGATATTAAGTTTTAAAATGCTGAAACTGTTCTTTATTTTATGCCTCCTTTTTAAATTATCAAATCTAAATTATTCATAATACGGGGATAATAAAAATACTGCTCGATTTCCCTGAACGTAAATAGATTCCCTTTGATAATAAAAATTAAAGATAAAATAAATCGAAGATAAAATTCCCTTTGATATTTCATAATGTCAAAAATTTCATTTAAAACAGCTAAAGCATATTATTATAAAGATTGGATATTTATATGTTTATTGTTACAGAAAATTAAAAGGTAGTACATATAGGCCACTCACCTACTACTTTAAGCTCGTACGTATAGCTGAGCGTTCGGAACCTTTTGTATTCCACTCTGCACCTATAGGTTCCCTCATCATCACCCTTCACAGGGTCGATGGTGAGTGCGGGAGGTCTTGAATGGATGTCGAAGTGTACGCGTCTTCCCAGCCTAGCACTGGGGAAGTGTACTGCCTTTACCAATGGAACCTTTCTCGCATCCAACGTGTAGATTGGCACCTTCATGTCATCTTTATACCAGAGCACGAGAGTGACAACATCGTCATCTGTGGGGGCGGAAAGATTGCACGGCAAAGATATTCGACCTCCAGCGACAGCATAAAACTCGTGCACAGGGACTGAAAAAAAAAGGATAAATTGACGTTAGCCTGTTGAATATTTATATGATGAAAAGCCATCACAATGTCTGTGTTTTGCCATGTACTGAGATATATATATATATTTTTAAAGTTTTACTTCATGTTTAAGCAAAGAGTTAAGACTTTTATTTTAGTTCTGTTCTTACCGACTATTTTTCATCGACCACATTCCTTCCAGAAATATGTAAATTTGATAAGCATAAAAGAAGAGATTGATACAATTTTTTAATATATTTTGCATCAAGAAATGACGAAAGCATCGCCAACTGTGTTTCAAACTAAACCGTTATGCAAGTTTGACAGCAGTTACTGCATTTGGGGGGGGGGCGTATGGCATTTTAAACGCACAATATAGTCCTCGCACGGAGTCCTGAAAGCTTCTTCGCGCTTTTTGTGTATAAAATGCAGTCCATTCTAAAGTCACTTCCCAGTTTGATTCAATATATTGACGTCTTTCCTTTGTTTATCAGCTCATCACAATCGAGTTCATGATAGAGGTTAGATTTAAATATATGTTTATATGCTTATTTACATGTAGCCAAATAACGGTTAAAACTAAGGAAACATTTTACATTTAAATTGAACTTCTGTAGATATTTTTTGGAGGAAAAATGTTAAATGGCTAATGCATGCTAAGAAACTGTGTATACATATATATATATATATAAAAGATATAACAAAATAAGATGGTTGCTTTAAAAAACAACTGCGACCTCAAAATTAGCATTCTAAATTTGGTGCTCCTCCCCCTAAATTCATCTGTTCTCCAAAATTCGAGATCATTCCAAATTACATAACACTGCTTGGAAATAGCAAATAAAACTAATATTGACTAATCATAGCTTAGAATACTATCTGAACCTACTAAGTATAAATACTGCTGCTCTAATGCTTTTTCTTCCCCCCTGCTCCCCAAACGTTTCTTTTGAAGAGTTGAATATGTAAGATATAACAAAATACGATGGCAAAATAACTGGCGACCTCAAAATTAACATTCTAAATTTTGTGCTCTCCTCCCTCCCCTAAATTTATCCGTTCTTTCAAATTCGAGATCATTCCAAATTATGCCTTAAAAAGGCGACTAAAAGTAATATTGACCAATCACAGCTTAAAATACTTTCTGCACCTAAGAAGTATAAACACTGGGTCACGAGCACTACGTTTCCTTTTTTCCTGACTTCTGCGAAGCAAACAACTCTGCGCCGTTTATGCTTCCCTGCCTAAAATGACGTCGCATCTTTTTAGCTGTGCATATTTTAGTGTCTCTGCAAATCTGCAAAGAAAGTCGCTAATTGGCTAAATCTAGTTTAGTATCAACTTCTTTCTCTCGCCCTACCACTCAGGCTTCACCACTGTGCTTCGAAATTATGACATATACTGGTGTGCAAAAATTAAGGACGAAGTCGAAGAATTAGCATATCAGCTGAACGAAGAGGCAGAGCGGACAGAAAGACCAATCAGGAGATTAAGTAAGGTGACGTACGGTAGCACATGCACAGATATGCAGGCAGACGTAATGGGGGAGTGTCTGAGTAGTATAAAGCATGTTGTCGGTGTAAGATCAGTATTTCTGGCAAAGAGATTGCACGCCGTATAGCAGTTAAAATCACACCGAGTTGCTGCCTCAGCGAGAAATGGCGAATAATCAGTCTGTTAGACGACATCTGGATGCTTTTACCCGAGGTGGAATCATTGGGAAGTTGGAGGAAGGCCGCAGTGTGACAAGTGTGGCTGCAGAGTTCGGAATTGCTCACAGCATCGTTTCACTACTTTGGAGACAATTTCAAACTACAGGAACGGCTATCCGGGGGTTTAGTAGTGGTCGTCCACGAAGAACCACACCCGCAGATGACCGGTATATTGCGTTACAGGCCAGAAGAAACAGGCGGAAGACAGCGGGAGAAATCGCTAGACACACGACACAGGCGAATGTCGACCGATATCGCGTTTTACCGTGGTCTGTTTGCATGACGCCCTGTACGGTGTGTACCTCTAACGCCTGCCCATCGGAGAAGGCGTTCTCTGTGGTGCCGGGACACCGGAATTGGAGAGACAATGAATGGGGACGAGTACTCTTTACAGATGAGAGCAGATTCAGTCTGGGTAGCGATTCTCATCGCATACTCATTTGGAGAGAGCGGGGAAGCCGCAATCATCCCTCGAACATCATTGAAAGGGCAGGTATGGAGGTGGCGGTGTTCTCGTTTGGGGAGGCATCATGCTTGGTAGTCGTACAGACCTTCACATCTTCGACGCAGGTTCAGTCAACGGGACCCGTTATTGTAACGAGATTCTTCTTCCATATGTGCGTCTTTTTAGAGGCGCTATGGGTCCGCAGTTCCTTTTCATGGACGACAATGCACCATGTCATCGCACAGTAGCTGCCGAACAGCTCTTAGAGAATGAGGATATTGAACGTATGGATTGGCAGGCACGATCTCCGGATCTCAATCCCATCGAGCATGTATGGGATTTTCTAGGCAATTGCTTGGCAGCTCGTACCTTACCACCAGTAACGATTCCGGAGCTTCGATTGGCGCTGCAAGACGAATGGGCAGCAATGCCTCAACAACTCATTGACACCCTCATTCTCAGCATGGACAGACGCTGTGAAACCTGCCTAGCAGTCAGGGGAGATCATAGCCCCTATTAAAGACCGGATGTTTCTTGCTGGACACCCATCACAGGGATGTTTCGGCCTTCAGTCGCATTGCGCTCCATGCTACTTTTTCAATAAAGCTTCTTTTTATCCCTCTGATTTTTTTTAGTAAGTGTTGCTTACATTACTCATGTCCTTACGTATTGGGGATCTTACGGTAATTAATGTGTTGATTTGGAAAGCTTTTGTACAAAGTTATATTAAAAAAACCGTCTCGTCCTTAATTTTTGCACACCAGTGTATATATATATAGAACACAAAATACAATATTATATATATATATATGGAATATATATATATGTATATATATATAGAGAGAGAGAGACAGAGAAAGTGAGAGTTTGATACATTAGGCATATTTTACTTCATATTGAGTACGGCCATAGAAATGTTGCGTACAAGCCCCATAAGATCAGTATTTATATCGTTAATTAACTAAATGTTGATAAATGCTTATGACTAATAAATATTTTCGAATTTTTCCGTTAAAGATTACGGGCGCCAAAATGTTCTTCTATGGAGAGACATATACGCTTATTGCCCACGGCTAAGTTATATTTCCAGTTTTTGTTTCCAAAGAAAGAATTATCAATAAAATGTTTATTAAAGTATTTGCCATGCTTTTTCATTCTCTGTGAAATAAAATAACCTACCTACAGGATGGACACTGCGCAAAAACAATGGTTAAATCTTTAGATATGTCATATGAAAGATATACTAGATAGCTCTCGTGTGCTTTACGATGATCGACTAATGCAACAGTATAGCAAAGTACTTAATTGCTGTTTAGCACATTTGCAAGAATGAAAATAATAATTAGAACAACGAAATTAATATTTTATAACCGTTTCGTGTGTAATTAATTTAAACATCACAAGTAATTTAACTGAATTAGAATCATGCATTACTGAATGTTAAATAAAGGAAGAGGCTGCATCAAATAACTGAATTAAATCTATAAAAAAGCCATTCTCAGCATTTGTAATTGTTTTAATGCAATTTATGATTTTTATAATTTATAATTGCTTCAGTATAATTTATAATACGAGTATTTATAATTTGTAATGTTTTAATGTAATAACTATAATTTAATTATATTGTCCTATATAAAGAACAAAAATTTAACTACACAATCAGAATTCTAACTGACAATATGTACTGTAAGGTTTTCGTCCAGAGTCAGAGGAATTGGTGCTTTTTGAGTTTCTTTGAATGTATCTAATACAAAATATTTCAGAAATGTAGGCAATGCGTAACTGTTAGTTAAAGAACTTCTGAATATGTATTATGCTAATGCGTTAGTCATCTGCTGTTTTGAAGATTTATATTATTTTTTGCAACTCCAAGAATAAATTTAGAACATTTAAGCTAAGGAATTTGGAAATTTGATTTCGGACACATTTGTCTCTTCTTTTTACTGAATTTGCAACACAGTCAGGCCATCAGGGCATTTCTCAGAACTTCATTTTCGTTTTGTCACGTTTTTAACTTGGAATTAAGATTAAAGAGTTAATTTTACCTGTGGAAAAATGCAAAATTCACGAGTCGGAAGCTGGGTAAGAAGTGAAAATTCATAGCATTTTCGAAACCTGGGTGTTACACTAACAACTGCGTTAAAACGTTCACGGTCTGCACATTAAGCTTTCATGTATTAAGCTTATATGTGTATAAGAGAGAGCGAATAAATAAGCGAGTCAAATAATATATTACTAAACATTGTACTATGCATTTTTAAATAGAATCTAGGTTTATAAACCAATCATTTTCTAGAAACGTGTTCCGCACCTTTGAGTCCAGTTTAGCATTTAATTAAGTGGCGTTTCGATAACATTACCTGGATTGTTTATACATTATACATTACCGTACGTATCCGGAATTTGTTAACAACAACAAAAAAACAGGTTTTAAAAACAGTTCATTCGGCATACATGTTTTTTTTTTAATTAAAAAGCAATGGACGACCATTTTATGTAACTTTGGGTCGGGTTAGGTTAATCCATTGAGGAAAGATAAGTCGAGGAATGCCTATAGGCAGTAACACCTTCGCGGAGACGTTTCCAAGGGAAACTGGTTCATATCCTTGTTTCATATGAGAAAAACATGAAACCTTCTATATAATAGGTCCATTCGTTGTGATCTGAACCTGAGTCAAAATGCTAGAGTTTAGGGATTTCAACTCTAGGCAGCGGTGAGCCAGAAACTACTTTTTCTCATGTTCCAGAAGTTCAGCAAAACTTCAATCTTCCAAACTGGATTCCAGAATAGCACTGAATTTTGAAAGATATTCTCAACACAATTATCGAAATTATTATTTGGATAT